AAAAAAATTTGCTTTGAGAGCAAAAAAAACTTTAACATACGCACTTTTTACGCATACGTATATAGCTTATTAAACCCCGTTTATTATTTTTTTTTTAAAATTCTGAACTAAACTACTTCCTACATTTAGACCAGCCATGGACCATGGTTTATGGTCGCGTCCTAGCCATTTTCAATAGTTACTATTTACTATATTTATTATTTTTATTATATGCTTAGTTTTGAATAATAACGGTCTTTTATAGTTACCTTTGTATTAGACGGAAACGGTAATGCAGTTCTTTAAAACGATAGTCGCTTAAAGCGTCAAAAGTCATGCAAAAAAATAAATTATAAATTTTGTGGTTTAAAAGTTGAAAAACTAATATTAATATGACAAAAAGTTTGGTAATTTTTAAACGTTTTTATTTAGCTCTTACTTATGGTATTTATTTTGTTTTCGTTTTACATTTTTAAAAAAATGTTGAAGCGCCTAACTACATGCATAACTTTGATAGCTCACAAGTTAAGTGCGCTGTCATCAGATTCGCTGTGCAAGGCTTCAAATCCGCGCCTAAAAAGTCTCAATACATTTTTTATAATTTTTTTAATCTGGCTATATTTATAGCAAAAAATTAAATATAACAAAAAACCTTTAAATTTCTTTTTTTTTCCCTGCCTCCACTGCAATACCATGTGGAGGAGCAGGACGGTTTTATCAAATTTTTCTTTATTAGGTTTTAGGACCTTTTTTTTTAAGACTATCCGTAGCTTATTAAAACCAATTATGTGAGAACAGTATCAAAATCGTGACACACACGCAACAAATTTTCGCCCCGTTCATTGGTGTTTTTAGAAATCCAAAAAATTTATAAAATTTAAAAAGAAAAAACGGTTAAACTGTATAACATTTAACTTGTTTAACTTCACAAATATTTTGTAATTTAAAGAAAAAAATCGCTGGTGGTAAATTTGAACCACGACTATTACGTTCAGAAGCTTAGCGCGCTAACTACTCGGCCATGCTGACACATCAAATATCGAAATTTTAAAAATATATAAAAATTGTTTTTAACGGAATTGGTTTTTAATGGAGAGGTTGACGCAATGCAATTTTTAAGTCAAAGTCAAACTATAAAACTTGAAAAATGTTTCAGTATGTTTTATCATTACTTAATTATGTACGTTAGATATTTGCATACACGTTTTCTTCTAAAAAAAGTGCTGTGACTCTTTCTACTAACACTACTATTAAGTTCGGCATTATTATATAGAAGATAGATAGATTATAAAATAGTTTTTCACTTAAAAAGACAAACTCTATTCCACATAAACCTTAACTCTATTTCTCCCTTTAATATTTTTTAGTGAACAATAGATTATGTGCTAGAAAAATAAAAATTCACATATGCACCTTTTCCGTATAATTATATTTAGAGCTTAACATGAAGAAGGTAAATCATTTAGTTCAAGACATCCTGCCCAAACCCAAATACTCTGTTGATTTACGCACACTCACTGTGGCTAGGCGTGTAAAATAAGTAGCTAGGCAAGTCAAATAAATTAACTTGATCTGTTTTTCTGCAAAAACAAAAACAGAAAGGGTGAAGTACTTTTTTTTTTTTTTTTTTTTTTTTTTTATAATTTAGCCGTACAAATATTTACAAGTTCCGTAATTTAAAATATTTAAAAATGGCAAGGACGAGAAGAAGACGGGGTTGTCTTATCACCAAGTCCCTTGTTTGTCTAGACATTTATATAAATACATGGTAACTAAAATGAAAATTAAAAAATTAAGAAAAAAGCAAAATATTACAAAGAAGTTTATATAAAATGCAAAATAGTTTAATAGTTCAAAGTTTTGAAAGATATTTTTTCGATTTTATTTTTAGAAAGAAAAATTTAAAAGTTCATTCAGAAAAACAAAAATATCAAAAAACTAAAAAACATGAAAAAAGTAAACGTAAAATTTAATTTACAATCTGTTCTTATAAAGTGTAATATATTTATTCCTCAAAAACAAATTACAAAATATTAATATAAAAAATTAAAACTCAAAAAAGATTACTTTTTTTATTTTTCCTCTCTCTCTCTTATTTAATAAATTTATTCAAACTAATGAAATCTAAAAAAGCTAAAAATCTTTATAAGTACTTTTTTTATAATATAACAGACTGTAATACCTATATAAAATTAAAGAATTTAGACCTTCCAGACTAATAAAGTATGCATTAGTAGATAGTTTTAAAATATAATATTTTTATAGATAGATTTAAAAATAATTATCTGTTTGTTTATTATTTATTTAAAAGTAATAGTTTTAGTTTTTGTTTAAACTGATCAAGAGTTTTAAGTGTTTTAATATCATTACTGATTATCTTATTCCATGCATTAGGTCCTCTAACAGTTATTGAAAACTTGGTGGAGTCGTATATAGTTTTGGGTTGAACAAAGTTGTTGTTAGAATATTTAGTTACGTATTTGTGTTGAATTTTATTAAATAATGGTTTGAAGATATTTGGTATTGAATTGTTATTAATTTTATACATAAAAATCAGAAGATGATATATATTTATTTGGTACACATTTAGTATTTTTAGATTGTTAAACAATGGTCTTGAATGTGAGAGTATGTTTAATGTCTATAATCTTAATGTCTAATGTCTAATGTCTTTAAGTACTTGATAAAAGGAACTGTAATATTGGATTTAGTTAATTCAATACAAAGTGATAGGAAACTGCAAAATAAAGTAACAATGTGAAAATTATTCAAATACTAATTTACAACAATTTGTATTGCGTTTTATTAAAATAGCTTTATTAAATGGTATGAAGATTAACGATTCTTCTTCTTCGCCTTTAGAAAAATGATTAACGATTTGAAAGACTTTTAAATTGATTATAAAAGCATTATGTAAAAATGAAATAAAATCATTATTGATAACACTGAATGCACATTTATTTGTTTTATGTTAATTCATTTGAAAAATGAAAAATACGAAACGAAATTTAGTAATATTAAATAAATATTAGACACTTACTTTGTGAGAGTGCTTTTGTAAAAGTCTCTAATAATTGGTTGAAAGGCTGGAAATACTCTTTTTTTTTTAAAATTCAGTTTTATCAGCATTGCTAAAGATAAAAATTCTTACTAACACAAAAAAATTAGGCATTTTTTCTAAAAATATTACTTGGCTTTTAGTGAATGATTAGGAGTAAGTTTCAGTAATGAAGCTTCCCAATAATCATTTTTAACGATAGACACCAACGTGAAGGTAAGCCAAGCTGTCTATCAACACAGAACATCACAACAACATTACAAGATGACAAACAATAACACCAGTAGTGTAGGCAGGATTTTTGTTGTTTCAGATATATATTTAGAAGCTGTTAAAGAATTTAACTTTGTTATGTCTAAAAAAATTCAGGTTAGGAAAAACACTTTTTTTAAACATTTGTTCCTAAGCTTAAACAACATCAATTTTTTGCAAAGTATTTTAATTCTATAAACGTGAATACACTTAAGTTTGGTTGAAAGTGCTATCTGAAGCATCAAAAGACCCTGCCTATGCTACTGAATACACATAGCATCATATATTTGTACATAACACATTTGCACATAACACAAAATATTCAGATTATGTGTTTCCAGAATAATTAAAAAAGCTAGACAACACAACCTAGCTCAACACTTGTAACACCGCTTGGCACTAAACGCTGCCAAGTAACACTACAATTTAGTAACACCGCTTGGCATTAAGTGCCAAGTAACACCACTAATTAGTAACACCGCTTGGCTAGCAAGAATCACAATCTTGCACTACACGTTGCCAAGTAACACCACTTTTCACATGGAAACTACTTAATATAAACTTGTATAAACTTAAGCACATAAATATAAATAAAGATAAATAAACGCATATAAACACATACATTTATATACACATATAGCAAAAAAAAAAATAAATAAATAAAAAAATATAAAACACATATAACACATAATATACTTGTCAAAATTTAAATTAAGAACATTTGTAAAGACAACATTATTTGTGTAATGTTTGTTAAATGACATACCTTGTAATGGATGATTATCAACTTTGAAAAACAAACTATTAAATGATCTTGTTCTTGAACATGCAACATATAATTGGCCGTGTGAAAAGCAAGGCTTTTTAAGATAACACCAACTTTTTCAATTGTTTGACCTTGACTTTTATTTATGGTCATTGAGTATGCTAACCAAACTGGAAACTGACGGCGTTTAAGTGTAAAAGGTAAATTTGCATCTGATGGAGCTAATTGAACTCGAGGAACAAATACCCTGTTACCAGCTGATACACCTGTTAAAACCTCACCATCAATATAATTGTTGTGTAATGCACGCACCATCAAACGGGTTCCATTACAAAGTCCACCTTTGAGATCTAAATTTCTAAGTAGCATTATAACAGCACCAATTTTTAATTTTAGGCAATGAACAGGCATACCTGATGGAGTCAAACTATTTAAAAACTTGACTGGAAAGTTATTAATTTTATTAAGATCATCAGTATCAATGCTATCTGAACTTAATTATGTTTTCACATCACCGGGTAAGCGATGAAGGACTTCTTCATTTATTGCCAATGAATCAACATTTGTTAGCGTTAAAATAGCACGTTTTGCATAATCAGCTTCTTCTGCACCACCGAAAATCTTCTCCACAATAGATTCATTATCACTGAGAAAGCACTGCTCAGGTATTTCAATACACCCTCGCAAAGGATCTTCAGGCTTGACAGGTAATGTTCCACTTCCAAGCTTTAAAAGCCATTGAGAAAATTCCTCTTCTTCTATCTGAACCCTCATATTTACAGTTAATGAGAACCTTTGCACATATTGCCAATGTTCAGAACATTTTAAACATGATTCTATAACTTCTGCTGGTTGACCTCGCTTCACAACTGGAAGTATTTGTCTGTAGTCTCCACCCATAAGAATAACCTTACCACCAAAAGGAAAGTTGTTATTACAAATATCTTATAATAGCTTATCAATGGCACTCAAAGCATATTTGGGTATCATAGATGCTTCATCAAGTAAATACAAACTGATTTGTCTCAGGAATCTACCATGAATAGAGTTTGGAGTTACATTACATGTGCTAGTTTCCAAAATTCGAACAGGAAGTTTGAATAAGCTATGCATTGTGCACCCATTTTTGAGAAGAGTTGCAGCTATTCCTGTCCATGCAGCTGTTGCAGTTCTAATATGCCTGCTCTGTGTTTCAGAAATTAAATAATTGTAAGTAAATGTTTTACCACAACCGCCAGGCCCATCCATAAAAAACAACCTTGAATGCTTATTTTCATTAGTAGGTTCCACACTTAGTGCAGCAAGGATCGCATCAGCTACATTACGTTGATTATCATTCAATAATGGTCTAACTCGGTTTGCTTCATCAATAAACACCTGAACATCTTCATCATCATTTTCTGGGACATTATCTAAAAACTGATCTAAAGCTGGCAAATTATAATCAACTAAGGTTTTACCACTCTGATTAATTATAGATTCAATTTGACGAAGAGCTGCCTGCTTAGCAAGTACGACTGGCATTGAATGGTGTATGTAATCTTCAACCATATAATTTTTAAATGTATTCCAAAGGTGTAAAGGATCATCAGGTTCACATAAAGTTAATATGATGGAAAACAGTAGCCTAGTTTGTTTAGGCATCCGAGTTGCAGCAGCTTCAGTTAATGTATTTCTCTACTCAATGTCATCTTGCAATAAACCTAAATGATAACATGCTTCACGAAATGTATTAAAAACAGTACTATGAACAGTACGCAAATCCTCAAAAGACTTTGCACCTTTTACATGCAAAAGTAACAATCTGAGAAAAAATAATTTGCAAAATGAACTGACTTTATACATTCGAACAACCACCTTATTACTACCTCTTTGTCTTACTTTCCACATGCAATTTTTACCAAAAACAAAGTGATATGGAATTTCAACATAAGAATACTGACGTGCTTCATTATTTTCAGCATTTAACTTAAACCAAGCAGTTAGGTGAGTGTCACGCTGTGCTGCACGATCTATAGCTACTTGTTCTTCTCCTTCGTTAAAATATACTCTCTGATTATCAGGAAAGTGGATTTGAAGGCGGATAATAGTATGTGACATATCACTTATGGAATACTCATATATTCGCCAAAGAGCCTCTGGGGCAGAAACAAAGCGAAAATCTAAATATGTGTTAATTTCATCATGGTCAACACTTTCATTAACTACCACATTCGCACAATCATGCCCCTTATAGACATTTTTGTATAAATACTTCACTGACTTAATAGACATGCAAGCTTCAACATTAATGTAGGCTTGGTATTTTTTTGATAACCATGGGTTATAGGGTACGACCCATCGATTATCAACTTGGTTACCTTTTATAATGACTACTCTACCATTATCTAAACGCCTGTAGTTAGGATAACCATTAAAAATTGCAACAGTGCAAGGATAAAACTCTTTAGGAAATTTTTTTGTGCAAACTCCATCTTTTATGCAAGGAGAATTAAATGTTCTTATTTTTCTAAATAAAATGAAAAACTTAAACATTAAAATAAACTAACTTGCCAAATATAGAATAACTTTATGTTTAATAAATATGTAATAAAAAAAATAAAGAGCATTACAACAACAATAACAAATTGCTTACTTAGATTCTCAACAGAATCTTCTAATTTTTCTAAATAAAATAAATTTAAAAGTTACAAAAGTCACTTGCTGACTGACAAACTGTCACAACTGACAAAAGTCAGTTGCTAAATAACTTTAAAAAAACTAAAAAAGCACAAATGTATTTGCACACAAAAAAAAAAAACAAAAAACAACAACAAAATTCCTCATTTAGCTTGTCCATTATTTCTGCTAAACATTAAAAAAAAGTTATAAATCAAAAATTGCTGAAATTGGTGAAATATATATCTTTGTAACATATCCTTCTCATACAAAATTAGCTTACTTAACAAGAACTCCTCGGCTTTGATCTCTTTAACATCTAATATATATATAGACAAAATTAATTTTCCAAATATTAACTTTTTCAATTAAACATATAAGATTTGTCTTAAATTATAAAACTGTTGCACAGTTTTATAATTTATCACATTCAGTAAATGACAAAAAGTTTCATTTTACGTAAAAGTTTAGTAGTTAGAAGACTTAAAAGTCAATTTTAGCTTAAACACGTTTTATAAAATTATAGCTTAAACACCTTAAATAAAGTTTATACGCGTTTTTAAGGTTCAATGCTTTACAAAAACATCAATCAAAATAGCGGAATAAACAAAAACTGAGTTTTGGGTCTACCCTTTTAAAGTTCCAAAAATTAATTTATATATTTTTTAATTTTAGTTAAATTTTAGGGGGGTGTACTTGATTCACGGGGTTAGGGAAGGGCGGCATATCTTGGTTGATTTTAACTAAAAACGGCTAAATTAAATCATCGTTTTATTTACACCGTAAATCAAGTACAGTTCCGCCACTTTTAGAACATATGTAACTGCTACTATATATAGTATATATATATGACTTACTTCGAAAAAATGCAGAAACTTCTTCGTCGCCTAAAAATATACAAAATTATCTTAATGTAATTTCTTAATAAAATAATAAGCTAAATATCTCAGTATTATTGACGTATCATCTCTTTTTATCTCTTTAATTAATTAATGTTATACAAAATTAAAAGAGTACCTCCTGCATCTTGGCTGCTCATTTCTAAAAAATAATCTTAATGTTTAGTCTTGGGTCAAAAACATATTAACTTCAAACATATTAACATGGTAACTATAAAATAAGTTTAATTTTTTAAATGAAGATTACAATAATTAAACTTGTAGATACAACTTACTTGTCGTCCCTCGCTTTGCAATTGTTATAATCGATATGAAGATCACATGGCCGAGTTTTATTGGTTTTAGAGTACAGTTGGCGCACATATCATAATACAAAAATCAGATGGTTTTAAATCTATTAATTAAGCTGTTTTTATTAACGGATTTGGTGGATTTAATTAGATTACCGCAAGGTAGTTTTACATTGGTTTAAGAGTTGGCGTACGTTTCGTAATACAAAAATCATTTAATATTTGTTTATATCTTATTATTCGAGCATTTCTATTAGCGGATTAGGCGAAATTTTGTGGGTTTTCTGTTTGTCACCTTCTGGAGTAACTAAATTTTTTTGTTTTAGGTTTCAGATTAAAGTTTTTTTTTTCATACCTTTCCGTACTTTTTAGGACTCTTGACCAGTTAGTTTTAATAAAAATTTCAGATTGCATGTAAAACCTTTTTTTTTATATATATAAGAAAGAAATTTATCTCTTTAATGTGTGTTGAACTCGCAGTTTTAACAAATTACCTAAAACATAAGTATCTCTATCATGATATATGCGCAACAAATTTCCAACAGCGTTTTTATGTTTTTAAAAATTTTTAAAAAAGTTTTTAAAAATTCTCTCCGTTTGGTTTCTTATAGTATATTATATCTTTATTTTTATGTAATGCGTATAACATCTATTTGCATTTAAACTTGTTTTTCTTTGTTTTCTAAAAAACTGGATGGGATTTAAAAAAAAAAATTGTGTAAGCAAAAGGTTTTGAACCGAAGCGAAGCACTTCAATCGCTGTGGAACGCTATATCATCTTTTTACACTATTTAATAAACAGAAAACTTATTAAACTTTAAAAAACAACATTTAATGCTTTAAAATAAAGAGATATTGTCGCAATAAAATTATTAAGTAAAAATAAATCGGTAGTATTTGATGTCATCTACTTTATAATATTACTGATTGATAATTAAAGAACTTAAAGTTTACATATTTAGATATTTGAATAGACTTTCGTTCACATTGATAAAATACAAATCATAACGGATTGTGGTTCCGAAAAAAAAGGTTAATGCACTACCATCTATAATTATTGGAAAGGTCATATTTTTTAATATCAAAGATATCAAAGTTTGTCGAAAAAGTGAAAACAATGTCTACCTGAATTATATGTTATCTTCCTGTTTATTAGGTTTATCCCTGATTAGTTTATAATTTATTCGAAGCCTTGATTAGCTTTTAATTTATTTGCCTATTAATCACCCTTAACAACAATAACCGCCATAAATATATTCTTAGCATTCTACTTAACGACTTATTTAATTAGTCTATTTTGTCACTAAGTATAAAAAAAAAAAAAAAATACCCATGTATTAACTGAATTTCAATTTATTTATTTATTTAACTTAATATATATAATATATAATTTAATATATATAATTTAATCTAATTAATATAATTGAAATACTACTAATCAATTTACTGATATTTTTTCTATAGCATTGTTAAAAATGGTCATATTCTAAAAGGTAAAGAAATTTATTGAAAAGAAAGTTGCACAAAAGAAAAAAAAAACTAAATAAAAGTTATTCGTTTCAAAAAACGTTTTACAAAGAGTTTTTCTAAACAATTTTATTTTTAATTGGTTTTTTTTTGAATTACGTCATAAGCATATTAAGGCGTTTTGAAAAACAGTTGCTGCATATATTTATAGTAAAAAAGTTAATGTAGCATAATAAACTTTTAATTGTCAAAAGAAAGTTTTAAAGTTTTATCTAGCTACAGGCTTTTTTTTTTTTTGCCTCCACAGCAGCATCTTATGAAGTAGCAGGGCTGTCTTGTTAAGTTTTTTTTTTATTAAGTTTCAGACAACTTTTTTTTCAGACCATTCGCAGCTTATTAGGACTAATTACATTCGCACATTAATAACATAAGTGTCTCAATTATCATAGATACGCAACATATTTTTTCTCCTGGTGATGTTTTTTTTTTTTTTTTAATGTTTTATGAAGTTTTAACATTCTTAAAATCTTTCTTTTGTGAGTGCATAATATCGTTACGTTACATATGTTTGTATATAATCTTTATAAAACTTCGAAAGTATTTTGTATTTTAAAATGTTAAAAAAAATTAAAAAAAATAGCCACCTTTGGTAGGAGTCGAACCTCTAGTTACTTGATTAGAAGTTCGCCGCCTTATCCAATCGAGCTACACCGGCATATCATCAGCATTAGATTTTATAACAATCTAGTAATTTTTTTGAGAAAAAAAATGTTAGATCAAAATTAAGGAGAGGTTGACGCAATGTAATTTTCAAGTAAAAATCAAACTGTAAAACGTGATAAATGTTTCAGTATGTTTTAACATATGCTTTAACATTAGTTTAAAGTTTACGTACGTTAGATATTCGTTCACGCTTTCTTATAGTGCTGTGACTCTTTCTCGCCAATACCTCGGTTACAATGGCTGCCAAGGGTTTCGTGTCAAATACGCTCCAAGGGACACTACTACTACTATTAAAACTATTAAGTTCGGCAATATTATATAGAAGATAATAGGAGTGTTTAGTTTTTAAAATAATTTCTCCACAAATATCAATTTGATGTTATTTTATCAGTGTGAAAAATCTCAAGATATTGTTAAAAAATGGGAGGTCGAGGTATGACCCACTTGTTTTATTATAAAGCAAATACAAGTTTAGCGCAAAACTACTGTATCGATAAAAACCACTCACAGAAAA